TCTTAGGTATGGCTGTGAAGTCCAACAGAAGTTAAAGTGTACGCTTAGCTCTGGGCCAAAATCCTGTGTTGTTCTTACAGATACAAAGGGGGTTCCTGAGCTCCAACAGTTGATCTTATCCACCCTTTGTGCTATGGAGGAACGTGCCGTCTTCCATTTCCTTGAACTAGAAGAGAGTGGCGATTAAAGGCTTTACTACACTGATAAGCACACTTTCCTCTCCCGGTTAGCTAAAACTTGGCCAAGTTACCTCTAAAACAGCCAGAAAGTCGATGTTTTTCTTCCCAGCTGTTCTCTGGGGGACCAGGCTGAGGATGAAAGCGCTGCAGAGAGGGGAGGGTGATTGCTGTTTACAGCTATGCGTGCCAATGGTGTGATGCTGCACGCCACCAGTTTAGTTTGATTTATTCGGAGATCAGTGTACCTCATAGCATCCGCAATATCATGCATGCATAAAAATTCAGACTTCTCCTTTGCTTCTCCCAATACAACAGGACTTTTCCCACTGCGGTGCAGCTCCTGCTCTGATATTAAACCTTCCAGGCAGAATTCTGCGATTCCCCAAAAGAAGTTATCCAGTGCCAAATACATCTTGGCATTAGGAAACTTTTCTCTGTACTTATTACTCTTTGAATATTGTTGTTAAATACATACAGATGGTTACATTCCTGTCTCACTTATCTTCTATTTTATGATATAGGAGTTCCCCCTTAGCATCATCTGTGCTGCCTTCAGGCTGCTGAGTTTCTCCGAGCCTCTCCTGCTTTCTTTGAGAAAATCATCATCAGCTGCATTGTTGACCCAAACTGATTGCATAGTCTGCTTTGGACTTTAATTATTTTGTCAAGAATAATACTGTGGCCTCTGCTTCTCTGTAAAAACACAGTTTTTTTTCCTTTAAGCAGCCACGGTCAATGCTGGGAAGAAAAGAAGTGAGAAGCAAAACTTGGTGTATGCGTGGTACTTGTGTTACACCCGCACTGCTGTTGTGAGGCTGGATCTCGAGGGTGTTCGCTGATGCTGGGAGGTACCGACATTGCTGGAGCCTTGCTGGCACGCAGTCAGGGCCTGGGCTGCCAGCCAGCCGTCGCTAGATAGGGTTATCCCTTCCATGGCTGGAGGGCCAGTCCTTTGGCAGCTGCTTCCTTTTGAAGTGCCCGAATCTTATTAAATAACAGAGCATAGTCAGAAGTCCTCTCAGTCTGTGAAAGTAGGTGCTAGTGATAGAAGTTCTTTAGTGACTGCAGAGATTGAAGGAGGGCTTATATTAGGAGTTCCTCCTTTTTGGGAAGAAACAGGGTACCACACTCCTCATTTGTGGGCATCTGGTTTCAGATGGTTATGGGCATATTTCTGCATGCCCAAATGTGGCTGCAGTTGCTTGCTGGGTTGGTAAAGCTATCCCAAAGCATGTGCTATTTCTGCAAAGCATGAAGGCAATAATGAGGGTGTAAAGCAGGGGCAGGAACAAGGGGAACCGTGCTGCAAGCATGGCTGAGGTTAGCCCCAGGGCCCGGGCTTAGCAAGCTCCTTGCTGTGCATGCCGGCTCAGCGTGTGAACATCCGTCTGGCTGCACGGGCATCGCAGGTTGTGGTCCAGCAAGTGTGAGGAGCTCACAGGAGTTAACTGCTGCCAGCACAGGGCCCCTCCACGTTGTGTGGCTGTGGTTCGGGTGGTCCATGTGATGGCGAGAGGAAGCACGTCCCGTCAGGTGGGTGTTGCTGTCCAGGAGCTGCTTGATCCTCTGATCTTGGGCAGGCTCATGGGAGGGCAGGTCTGTGGTCAGACATTTTCCTTTCAGTTTTCTAGGTCAGAGATTATTTTCTGTTTCAGGCATGTTCCACGTATCTGGGAGTTGATCTCCGATATTGCATTGGCTGCTACTTAGCTGGTCAAATTTCATCTTTAAAGGAGATCACAGCAGGCCCAAAAGGCAGGCTTTTAGCAGTGGTCTATTAAATTTAATTATTTAATTTAATTGTATCTTATCTTTTGTTGTTGCTGTTGCTATCAATTTAAGACCAGAGAAACTCTTAAGACTGTCTGGTTTAACCTCTTGTATAGGACAAGATTTCACTATTGGTCCTGCATCCAGTGGGGTGCCGGTGTGCCAAAGTTTCAGCAGCTCCTGGCATGCTGGGTCTTCAGTCCTCATTTTGGAGCCTTTCAGCTGTAATTTTTCATTAGGTCCTGCTAACATGTGCCATGAGAAGATCTTGAGTGTAGCTAGATCCTCTCTATTGAGTGCTCTTGAACTGTGGTATAATATGAGCACAGCTGCTTAGTTGGTGTAGGGGATTTGACTGGTCTTTAATCTTGGAGTCTGGAGGGGAGAGAGGTTGTTTTATAACTCTCATAAATCTCCTGCTATTACTTTCAGAATTATTTTGTTCCTATTTTGTCAGACTATGCTACCCTAAGCAGCAGAATCCCCTTTGCAGTGATGGAGAGCAAGGTGTGTCACAGAGTTTGGACCGACTTTTGTTTGTGCCCAGCGTTGAAGGTGGATGATGCTTTTGTTGCATCTCCTGGTCTCAGCCCAGCTGCTTGTGTCTTGACATGCCTTTTCTTTTAAGACTAAACAAGGAATGCAGGATTTGCTCAGTATCCCGCTGGAGACCATGTATGTCAGAAGAAGGGAGGAAGGATCCTCTTTGTGAATGTGAAAGCAGGAGTCTAATGTATTGCTGTGTATGGAGACTGGCAGAAAAATGATAGGCACTGAAGAATGATTTTGGGAACCTAAGTAAGTAAGGATTTTCCCATAAAATCTGAACTCTTGATATCCCATAAATCAATTTGGGTGACTGTATATGTATATATATTATCGATATTATATATTTTTGAAAGAACCATTTCTTTACAAAGCTGCGTATCTATCCAGTGAACTGAAATTTAGGTAAAAATGATGCATGATATCACTGGAGTTGAAGTTTATTTGGGGAATGTCTTCAATATTAATGGAGTCAGAGGGCTGTTCAAACACAGCTTCCTAAAGCCAGTGTAGTAATCAGCCCAAGCAAACATGAAAGTTAATATTGAGTCAAAGCTAAATATTTAATTTAAATTTTCCCTGTGAGATTGATTTGGTTTTGGTGTTTGTTTTTTATTTTTTAGTGGAAAATATAGTGTCCATAAAATCAACATTTTGATAGGACTTTCCCAAGCAGTTCTAGCTTCCCTGTTTTGTATCCCATTGATAGAGATGTGTCACTTCTGGACTGTAGCTGGAGTTGTGTGAATAGGATGTTCTCTCATCCTTTCTCTGAAAATATTTGCTCTGCTCACCCTAACGAACTCCCAATAGTTTAAAAAACAATTTCTCTACTTCTGCGACAAATTGCAGGCTAGGGAAACGTATGGTGATGGTGTGTGCTGTCTCTGCTTCCCCCTCACTTACCCCAGAAGATTGTTTTCTCTCGGCTCGCGTTAGTGAAGCTGCAGTTAGGATCCCCAGGAGCGGAGGTGCCAGCAGAAAGCACTGCTACACCTTAACACTGCAGAGTCGGTCCGGCGTGGGCACCTTCTTCCCCCGCCTACAGCCGCGCAGATGCTTTCTGTCCATTTGTAGCGTGGCTGTTTGGCTCCTCCGTTAGATATATAGAGTTCAGCTTTCTCTTTTACTTGTATAAGATGTTATTCCCTTAAAAGGACCGGTTGGTTTGGCAGGGTTTTGCAAACCACGGGCAAATGTTGTCTGGATTAGTGGTGGTCCATGCACCGTTGCTCTGGGAGCTTAGGCTTGTAGTTAGAGGTTTATTTGAATGATGTGATATGTGTTAACACTGGAGAGGAATTGAAGTGTTGGCAGGGTACATCGTGTGTTACGCAAGAAAAAAGAGGGAGCCTGGGCTCACCATCTTTTCTTGCAGGACCAGGAAATATTTTTCTACTCCGCAGTGTGCACACCAAGGTGTATTAAATTGTGGGCACCTCCGTGACGAAACTCGGTGCTGCTGACGTAGAAGTCTTGCTTCTATTTCTGCCAGACCAAGGAAAGGTGGCTGTACAAGAGCAGAGAGGGTTTGAACGATCATGTTTAGTCATGCCTCCGGAGAGCCCTCTTTTCAGAATTCCTGTTCTGCACAGATTATCGATACCCACGAGGTGTGAAGCTCCTCTTTGCTGATTTTAACCTTGCAATTTGGGGGTGTATGGAGGGGTGCCTTGGTTTTGTTTGTTTGTTTGTTTTTAAAGTGAGATTTCTGTGTAACAGCCTGCCTCAAACTTCAGGGATCCTTAGCTGTGATTGGTGCTAAAAACCAGCTGGTGAACGAAAAAAACAAAAGCAAGACCTTAATTAAAAATGTAACTAAAAATGAAAAATCTACTCACCAAAAGATAAATACCTTCTTTCAAGGACAGGTTGACTGACAGTGGGATTGAATCTCTGATCCCTAAAATTATATTCTGTATCTCTGTCTAATTTAGATTAAACGACAACAAGTCCTTAGGTAACAGCACTAACGGTTTCCTGTTTTCTATGGTTTAAGGCCAAAAGGTGATTTATGTAAGAAATCAGTGTTTACCCCGGCACTGATGGTATTTTGAGAGACTGAAACAATTCCAATGGGATAAGATATAATAGGGAGGAAATACCCATATAATTCACCAAACAGATACGCATGGATCTTTTCAGAGAATTGCCTGTGTTTTAATGTTACCCCCTGCTTCATTTATCTGGCAAATTGGAACACTATTAACCATATTTTATTTTATTTTTTTCTTTAATCTCTATTTCCTCTAGCAAGGTTGAGATTGTTCAGCACTTCTAGGAAAAAGAAGGAATCAAGTTCCTTATTTTTTTATAGAGCCCTGAACGTTGAACAATTTGAGCCATGGATGCTTGATTTTTTTTTTGTGAAGTTAAGGGTGTGCATGAGAATACATATAGAGAGCTTCAAATATTATAAAATCTTGGCAAGATTTATCATGCAAAATCCCGAAAAGGGTCTTTGGCTTGAAAAACAATCTTCTAATGTTTCCTTTACTTTTTCAGGTGGATTTGGAACCAGAAGGCAAAGTGTTTGTTGTCATAACTCTCACAGGCAGCTTCACAGAAGGTAAGGGAATTATTTTGGCCTGTTTCCATTAAGAGCTGGACTCTGGTGTATACTCTTGCCGTCAGTTACCAAGCAGTATATAAGCAGATGGCATTCTTCACACGGGCCGTGTGCTGTTGTGCGCCGGAGATTTCTTGAGCGATGGGGGAAAACTGGAAGGGGCTATTCGTAACAGGTCACACTGCGCGTGCCCTCTGCTCTGCTGTTGGTCTGATCTCGGTGCTTGATCTGGTTTATTTATCTGAGGTTGTCCTTCAAACGGATTGTTTTTGTCACTTGTACTTTTCACCTGGCTGCCTCTTGAAGGGCAAGCTAAGGAGCATGTAAAGCATGTTTAAAATAGAACATGTTTAAAACATCTGGGTGATTTTTATTCCATAATGTTTCCCATCTACTTCACATGCATTTCTGTTTCCCGAGTTCACTTTGCACAGGAAACTTAGAAGTTTCTTAGTGCGACAGCTGCCCTGAAAAAGTATCTGGGTGGATTTTTTTTTCTGTAACTGTCCTTTATAGTGTCATGTTTTTAATTTCCCTGTTAGTTTACTGTGATACCAGTTATGAGCGTGGATGTGAGCTCTGCTGGAGGAACCCAGGAAATCTGGGATGGGGCTCAGAAAAAGTTTATTTTCTTCAGACCTGCACCATGGTTCTTATTTGTTTTAGCTGCGGCCTGAAACTCCATTTGTTGGGGGGCGTTTTCTGTACAGAAGCCAAGAATCGAGGCAGGATCTGCTCCACTATCTGTTACCTGCAGCCTGGGAGAGCTCCATTTTTAATGCTTTCTCTTGCTCTGCCCCAGAAACTGATTGCTCGGCACGAAGGCTGTGCCGGGGGCTGTGGCATGGGCAGCCCACCCTGCCGTGCTCTGTCGTGGATGCGAGGAGTGTGCAAGCTGGAGGGGTGCTTGCTTCAAGGGTTACAGGGGAGCTCTGCTCTCCCGCCTAGCAGTTCCCCTAGCTCACACCTTGTGCTGGGTGCCCGGGCCTGTCAATGCCTCTGCCTGTTTTTCAAATGCAGGTTTGAATACAAGCCTTGGGCTTTACTTGGAGGCTTTTGGGGAGCCGTCTCACTCTTGCTGAGCTGGCAGCCTGATGGGTGCTGGGGCTCAGGCAGCTGCTCGATGGGGAGCTGCTGCCTCAGAGGAGCTGGTGAAGCTTTTGGTTTTCTTTGCGTGGTTTATACCCCACGAGTGCTCTGCTCCTGGCAGGATAGCTGTGGCCTTTTAAAGCGTTTGAGCCCAGTCCGGTCTGTAATCAGCTGAGCCACACCTGAGGGCCCAGCAAGGGTTTGCAGGGAGATGGTGTCCTCCTCCTCCGCAGCACCCCCAGCCCTGTGGCGTGGAAGCGGTGGCAGGGTTTGCAGACATCCTTCCCTGTGTGCAGCTGGGGCTGCTCTTACTCCTAGGGACCGTGGGCAGGGCGTAATCCTGCTTGCAGGAGGTATGTTAGGAGGGAGACGTGAACAGAAAGCCTGGCTGGCTTTGACTCCTAAGGAAATGTATGGTCTCGGGGTGATGGAGAAGACGAGGAATATCACACCCTGGCACTGCAGCAGGGCAGAGGACCAGAATTCACTTTTCCATTGAAGTTCACTTTCTGTGTAAAGCTGGGCAGGCCACGCAGCATCACTGCAGCTTTCAGTTCTTTCTCTGTCAAGTAGCAATGCATGTTTTACTCTGCCCAGGTGTTAACTCTGGGGTCTGGGAACTGCTCTCACATTTATCCATGCGTAAAATGTTAACAGATTGTGTAGCCTTTCTCCTCCAGGGAGATGTTCCCTACAACTGTGCTTTGACAGGGAGACATGAAGATTACTTTTTCAAGTTAATTTGGGAAAAGCTTTCTATTTGTAACCAGGAGAGTGCAAAGGTGTGCTAGGGAGACGTGGAAGACTTTTTTGCAGGTCCAAGGCAATGGCTCTTAGACAGCAACAGGGGTGAAAAGGACATTAGAAATTGGCTTTAATTGCCTATGATACAGCTGATGATGGAGAGAGAGTTGTATTGAGATCAAGAAACTAGAGGGCTTTTACTGACCAGCATGCCAGTCTGTATCCACACGCAAGCATGTCACGCTTGGCCATTTAAAGCAGGGTTGAGCAGGGATGGTGGGCTAGAGCATAAATCCAAAGTGTGGTTCGAACTCATGCTGGTTGCTAAGCTATTGAGACATGTTGCTAACAAGGTCTCAAAGACGAGAGATGGAGAACCCAAATGTTAGTACCACTACTGCTTTCCGAGGAAAATGGGAAATGTTGGAAGTAGTTTACTTCTTTCCTCTGTCGTTATTGAGGATGTGTGGACTTACAGAACAGGAGGATCAAAGGTGGCTCTTGAGGCGTTTCTTGACTGCTTAGTCTCATGTGTGGTCACATTTGGAGTTTCCAAGAATAGACATAATCCAGGACAAGCCTGAGTGCAGATACTGACTTCTCCCAATTGTTGGATAGTGGAAGCATCCGTCAGGGAGGGGTTTCCTTCTGAAGAATGGTGAGGTCTCTTTCATAACGTCATGTTTTGTTCTATTTTTTCCTCTCATTTTTTCCTGGAAATGTGAAGGCTCAGCATTGTATTTGAAATTTAAGGTTTTGGAAAGAAGTCTGAGAATAACTCACAACTTGAAACACAAAAAGGGGCTTCCCACTTGTTTGCCCTAATCTGGAGGGCAGCCACTACCACATCCTCACTGCTAGTTATGGCTAACGCGTCAGAGACGCTTGAAGGCTGTGTGTGTCTATGGGTACACAGAAAACCCAATGTTAGTTTGCATTAGACCCCATCAGGGTAGAACGTAGACCCACGTGGAGTTTCAAGAAATATGATGTTTAGTACTTTCGATCATTTTCTTGTGACTTATAAATCGTAGAATCATAGAATAGTTTGGGTTGGAAGGGACCTCTAAAGGTCATCTGGTCCAAGCCCCCTGCAATGAGCAGGGACATCTTCAACTAGATCAGGTTGCTCAGAGCCCCGTCCAGCCTGACCTGGAATGTTTCC